GGCAATACTCGAGTATACCACAAGGTCGAGGAGATAACACTCTACTCGACTAATAGTAAATCCATGGTTCGTTATCTAATCGATCAGATCCTTGTCGGCTCGACCCGATTAACGACCAATGAGGTTTGAGCTCAGATATCACAGTAAAGTCGTTAGACACAGTCCCAAACGATATCAAACCATGCACAGGTAATGAATTCACAGGTATACAGTATATAGTCACACAGATAAGAGAATGAGAGTGATAAAGTATACTCTTGTCTCATGCACAGAGTTCACAGTCATTCAGTCCAAAGATTCAAGGTCAAATAACCATTTAAATATTAAATCATGCAATGGTACAGTCACCAGTTTAAGTAAACAAGTTCACAAGTTTCCTTCCGACGTATGCCTCGGATAACTGGCACGTCCTATAAACAAGCAAGAAACAACAATTGAGACTCAAACACGAGTCGTATACCTATTCAATGAACTACTAATGCAAGACCAAATATAGCTTGGAAGGGAAAATAAATAACATTTAGTGATAGAAACATAAACAAGCCCAAAACCTTTCATTTCTACCCAATCTCAATCTAAACTCAAAGGAACCCAATATCCTCAAACTTTGGACAGCATTTCCCCTTAAATTTCACATTTTCCATCGTACAAACAACCATTTACATTCATCCAAAACAACCACAAGTACACATACAAATCATAGGCTATTCAACACACCTCATTAGGGTTACAATACCCTTCAATCTTAGCCAATCAAAAGTTCAACAACCAACCATAGTAAAGCCCTAAATAGAAACCCTAAAACTGAAATTTTGCTCTACAAACTGAAATTTTCCGCAAACAAGCACAACTAACATATAAAAGCTCCATTTTACACCATATCAAGCTATCATTCCATGGCTAACCAACAATTATCATATAAGGATAGAAAAATCGCCAATAAAATCTGAAATTTATTATTTAGCTCTACCTCAAACCATGAAATCTTCCACAAAATAGCATATTTAGCCACTAAAAACCACTAATTTACCATTATTAAGAATAAAGAGGGAATTTCTTGACAAAATACCTTAGAACCACAAGAGATAAGGTAGCTTAGTGCTTTTTCTTCACTAATCACTCCACCAATACCTTTAATCTTCCTTAGCAATTCACTTTTATGGATAAATTTGAGATTTTAGTGGTTGGATTTCAAGATGTAAGCAAGAAATGGAAAACAAAAGTTGAAGGTTTCTCTCTTCTCTCCTCTTAAGAAGCTTGGCCAAGAAGGAAGAAAATGGAGATGATTTTGGGTCAAAATTAGTTTTGGAAAAGTAAGAAAGATTTGGTCAAAGTCCACCTTCGAATAGTAACGTGACACGTGGCACCTCTAATGTTTATCTTATCCTCTTATCTCCCAATACTAATTAATCTAACTAACCTCTAATTATTTCCTAACACCTAGTAAAATAATGTCCCTTAATACAAAACTTACCCTAATTGTCCAAATTTATTGCACAAAATGCACTAGCGAATCCCACGTCTAATATACACTACTATTGTCTTAGGAACTAACTTATACTAGAAAAATGATTTAAAAACTAAATTCACTCATAAAAATATCTAGAAAATTAATATAATAAAGAAAATACCGAAAATGTGTGCAAAGAAATAAAAATAATGCCTAAAATTAAGAAAAATTTTCGGGTTCTCACAAAAAGGATTAGGAAACTAAATAATAAAATTGCTTGATTTAATTTCCTTCATGTAAGCATAAATCATGAAGAAGCGAGAGATGATGATGATGACAGAAGCCACACGGAAGAAGGAAAGAATGAAAGATCAAGGCTCTGGTGGATTTGCTTTTCTCTTTGTCGAGTAGCTGATGTAATGAACAAAGACCTTTAAAAGTTAAAAGGGTTAATATCAGAAACCTCCCCTGAGGTTTCTTCTAATCACATCTAGTAACCCCCATGTTTTTGAAATCACACTTAGCACCCCTGGCAGTAGGATGTGACAGGTTGTCCTAATCAAAAGGTGAGAAATTACCCAAAAACCACCAACACCAGGCAAATTTTTAAGTGGGAAAATGCTGGAAAAAAAATAATGAATAAGAAAAATTATTGGAAACCAGAAAATAACAAAAATGCCATTGTTTTGGCGCACAATTTGAGCGCCATTTTCTGCATATATAACCATGATAACCATAAAAACGGGCTTTCACAAAAACTATTGCCACCACTACGTAGGAAGGCACCAGGAAGACCAAAGAAAAACAGAAAAAGAGGACCTGATGAAGAACATGCATCAGTTCATACACAAAGGTCAACCACATTAAAATGCTCTAAGTGTGGTTTATTTGGCCACAACAAAAGAACATGCAAAAGAGAACCAGGAACCTCTACAAGGACCAATACTAGTTCTACTCACAGGGTAATGCTTTTAGAAATTGAAGTTTCTACTTTTAATCATCGCAACAATATGCATAGTGCAATGATATGCATACATTTGGAATGGTTATTGGTACTTTGACCCACTTGTGCATCTCCTTGCAAGCTGCAATGGATATGTAATTTTATCTATATGACTAATACTAATTTGCCTATAAACACCTTACACGCGGGTGATTTATGAGGTACAATCAATTTACAAATATGTACACTATGTTAGATCTTAGTTACTTGATTATTTATATCTATAAAAGGTAGTGTAATGGTACGCATAATTTGGAATGGTTATTTAGCCCTTTGATCAATTTATGTTAGATCTTGTCATATGCACTACCTTTTATAGTAGATGTGTAATTTTGCTTGTATGAGTAATCCCTTGCTTGTTTATGAGTACTTTACAAGGGGTGATGTATGAGGTACAATCAGTTTACAAAAATTACATTATGTTAGATGTTAGTTACTTGACTGTGTATATCTATAAAAGGTAGTGCATGTATACGCATAAATTTCGAATGGTTATTTAGCCCTTTGATCAATTTGTGCATCTCCCTATAGTAGATGTGTAATTTTACTTGTATGAGTAGTTCTTGCTTATTTGTGAGTACTTTACACAGGGTGATTTATGAGGTACAATCAATTTACAAAAATATACATCACGTTAGGTGTTAGTTACTTGACTATGTATACATGTAAAAGGGACCAAATTTGTCCTGATAATCACAAAATATTAGCTAACTTGTGGGAGCTAGATAATTATATGCTCAATTTTGAAGTTATTACATTGCAGGGTGCTCTAAGGAGAGGAAAGCCTGGTAAAGGCATAGCTAACACGGGATTTGGAGAAGGGGCAGGGACGGTTACTGCTATTAAAGGTAGTACAATTACTCGCTGTTGTTCTAGTATTACAATGTGTACAAATGATGTTACACCGTGTGCCAAATGCACACAAGCTTCCGGAGTGCAACCGTTCCGGCCCCAGATCCATAATTAGTTATGCATCTCTATATCGCCAAAATATCTGATAATTAGTTATAACATTCTTTTTATTACACTTTTACACCCTCAGCTTCTAAATTAATATCATATGCCTATTTATTTTTATTTTTATCTTCTAAAATTCACTAATCATTTTGGGCTTTGGGTAAAAGTGGAACAAAAATAAAGTCTCTCTCCTACAATTCATTTTTTACTACCATTTTCAAATAGAGGGGCTGACAAGATACCAAAGTTGTCATTCCAGGGGTGCTAAGTGTGATTTCAAAAACATGGGGGTGCTAGATGTGATTAGAAGAAACCTCAAGGGAGGTTTCTGATATTAACCCAAGTTAAAATGCCAAAATATTGCCTTCGGTTGCTTTTCTATAAGCTTTTGAGGAACAGATTCCTCAAACATATTCATGTCTATAGATTTTACACAATTACATCCACACACTTCTTTAAAGAAACGCATACTATTCTTTTCCAAGCTTTGACATTATTGTCTGACTTGTCTCGATACCTATCTATGAAATGAAACATCTGATGTAAAAATGTCCAAACATCATGTGCCCTCAAAAGATTTCTCATTATTATTATACTTTATTGAAAAAATGGGAGAGAATGAAAATAACGACGGAGTTTATGAACATGAACCTGGAGATAATTGCATTTACATATGCAAGACCAAACTGTATTGACGATTTCCTAAAAGAACACAAAAAAAAAATTTTCCTTTTATTCAAGGGCTGAAGGATGAAACACTTGTCCTCCTCTATCATGAAAACAAAGTTTAAGCCGTACCAAAAGAAGGAGAGTGCGTGTGCGTGTGCGTGTAGGCGGGAGTTCAGTTTAAAAAAGAAGAAAATGGCAAGGGTGCAAAAAGGGCGGACTTGTTGAAGTTTGTCTTACAAACTTAGAAACAAATTTGACCAAAAATGGAAAGCAGAACCAAACGTGAAGAGAATGAAGAAGAGCGTGCGGCAAATTGACCCAACTTCATCACTTAATTAGTTCTAGCAGTTTAGTATTTCCCTTTTTCTGTATTTGTTTTCCTTTCCTTTCCTTTTCCGTATTTGTGAAGCTTATTAATTTTTTTTGAAAAGAAAAAGAATAAATTAAGCTGTAAAATTAACTAGTTGTCTAACTTAAAGGTGCATAACTAATTCTAATGGGCTTGAATGAAAAAACCAAAGTTTTGATCTAGTGTTTAGTGTATTGGATTGGAGACTAGTAGCTGCTCTATTTGTTTCTATGGAAGAAGAACTGAAGGAGCTCCGGGATAATACCCCAACAAAAATGCTACAATTGCCTACGTCGTAAGTCCCCGACAACTGCCGTTCTTATTGTTATGCTTCTGTTCACATAAAGGTAATGCACCAAAAAGAAACAAAACAGAGAGATATCAATTAATTCCATGGCGAAGGAGAAGCTGTGCTCCTGGGCGCGCGGGGTTTTGGTAAAACCATAATGCAGGTGTGTAAATTCAAGCTCTGAAAGAAGTATTTAGTAAAGCAAGAGTAATTCATGGCTAATGAATTGTGGAATCAGTTGTTCGCCTGTTTATGGCTTGCTTGCTGTGATGATGATCATTACTCAATGACATGGACGAGGCGACTTTGATGGTTCTGCTGCTGGACAGGGGTCTCCAAGGTTTATAACACACTCGGCATGAACAGGTTGAGCTGCGAGCGTCGTTGCTGCGCACGACATATTAACAATCAAATTACGGGCAAATTTCATTATTTGGATAATTAAAGAAAGAATATGTCAAGAAATTAGATTCGGATCTTCTCTACTTTCACAAACTACAACCTGCATCTATCTAGCTAGAACTAAAAACTTGGAATAGCAATATCAACAAACTTCATGACTACTAGTACTACTCTATACTTGGTTCCTTCCGCCAAAATTCTCCAACTTGAATAACTAGTAGGACATTGCAAATGCCATTGTACATGAATTCCGTTACATACAGAGAGTTGTGATGCTGAATAATAAATAAAAGGCACTCAAAACTTCTGGAGTAGACTAAACTAAAACATGTCAAAAATAAGGAAGAACAAGCAAAGTGGTATACCTATTTTAAAGAAAAGTTCCTTGATGTTGGTCTCAACCTTGGCAGAAGTCTCCATGAAAATCAGACCATTTTGATCAGCAAAAAGCTTTGCATCCTGCAAAAGCATTAATAACGAACACCTGAAGAATTGCCTTCTGGGATGTTGCACATGGTCTGTGATTTTCACATTTTCCAACAATTTCAACAGAGCGAGCTGAGTTTGTTGACATAATTCAATGAAGGTTTTTGTCGTTGTTTTGATCTCAGAAAGCACAGAAAGAAACATCCAGGTAATACATGCAATTGAGTTTTAAATATCTTTTTGCAAAATAGATGTGGTCCTGCCTATGGAAACTAAACAAGTAAACATCAAACAGAAACTGAAGACCTTCATGTGGAAATGCATCAATAATGCTCTCCCAGTCAAGGAAGTAATCTTTAGTAGGTCTAAGAAAGGAGATCCCATCTGTAAAACATGTGGTGAAGGGGTAGAGACGGTGGAACATGTGCTGCTGAACTGCAGACAGGCTAAGCAGGTATGGCATATAGCACCAATACAATGGGGGGTGCTAAGGACAAACAAGGCTGTTTTAAGGCCTGGTGGACTGCAATTACAGGAGCCAGATCTAGGCAGGATGGTGAATAACACCTTGCTCTAACAGTTAACATCTTGTGGCAAGTATGGAAAAGCAGAAATGAGTGGGAATTCAACAACAAACAAAGGCATGCAATGACAACAATATAGAAAGCTCAAGAGGAATGGATGGAGTTCAGCGAAGCCTTCAAACAGAAGGAGCAAGTGAGCACAGCAGAAACAGCTGCTTACCAAATGCAAAGGATAGAAGCAGAGAATGCAGAGGTGATCCAAGTTAAGATTGCTGCACTAAGCAAACTGAACAGTAAAAAGGTTGGCATAGGTGTGGCTGGTATGACTGAAGGAAATGTTATTGTTGCAGCTTGGGCTATACATGAAAAAAGCTACAATTGTCCACAATTGGATGAGGCTGAGGCTATCAAGATAGCTATGAGTAAATTAGTTGTCAAAGGCTGGAGAAAAGTCAACATACAGAGCTGCCACAAACACCTACATCAGCAAATCAGTGCGGGTAGTGCATCAAATATCAAGCCGCAAACTCTAGTTGAGGATATTCTTAGCTTGAAAGTGTTGTTTCAAATGTGCTCTTTTGGTGTTATATCTAAAAATGATAATCATGTTAGTATTACAGTTGGGGAGTATGCCTTAGGCATCATACATGATGAGAAATAGATCAATTCTCTGTGCTATTGAACACTTTTTGTATAGAAAGAGGGCCTTTGCTCCAAGTGTAGAGTTTAGTTGATAATCAATATATTACTAATATCATTTCGAATAAATATATATATCTTTTTGACTTTAGGAATCTTAGTAATTACTTCTACCTGAATGATTTAAACTTAAAACGAAGAATTGTATCATTCACAAAGAAAGAAATCCTCCAAGCAACATTTTGCATAAGCCAACATCAGCTTTAGTATCTTCCGTACGCATTCAGGCCTTCTTACCATGTGATTATCAAATTGAAGATTACAGAGTTCATACAAACATGCAACTACAATATTTTACTTACCTCTGTAGTAACTTGTCTCTTATCCTCCAAATCCACTTTATTACCAGCGAGTGCCATGACAGGGAGAGCAAAATCCCATCTGGATGCTATTAAAATTTACAAGCGTAGAATGTAGTAGCATTAAAATGGGTTAAAAAGCAAAAGGAGTCAAACAGATGAAATTTGAATCGAAGGATATTTGCTAAAGTTACACCTGCACGCTTCATGTACTCTACCCACATCTTGGCCCTTTCGTATGAAACCTAAAAAACCAATTCAAGGAAAGTTTTCTTAACTACTAGCTACTCACTATACATACATACATACATACATACATACACACATACATACGCACACACACACACACATATATATATATATATATAGCCATATACAAACCTACCTTGCTAGTTATATCATAGACAATGATATATATATATCTCTATATATGTGTGTATATATAGCCAAATGCAAACCTACCTTGCTAGTTATATCATAGACAATGATACATGCAGCAGCCCCTCTACAATAGGAGTCGGGCAAGGCCCCATAACGTGTTGAAAACTTTTCAAAATTTGTATGATGTACATACATGTAATTAATGTATATTCATTAATTTTTGGTACATGTATGGTATTGTGAATGTTTCTAAAATGTACATTCATTTATGAATATATTTATGTATATGAAAATTATTGAATGAAAGGATAGATTCATGTTTTGATCTAATGATCATGAGATGCATGAATTAAAGTGCATGAATGTGTACACAATACTTTGAATCTATTCATACAAGTGTTTAATGAGGTTTTTTATTTCCCAAACAATCTTCCTATATAAAGAGGTCAAGTAGAGAGTGGTTTGCTGCAGAAAATCACTTTCCTACTATCCTTACTCTCTCAAAAAGCACTCCTTAGTTCACAAAGGGTTTGTCTTGCTTTGTGCAAGAGTTTAAGACAAACAAAACTTCATCTTATCCTAAAGGATCTTTGTCCAAGATTATTGCACGTTATACCGGACAAATAAAGCCTAAAGAAAAGTGATTTCTATCACGATTTGAAGCCAATTCTTGTTACAATATTTGCTAGTCCTTTACAATTTACCCAACAATCTTTAGGCTTTATTCATACTCTACAATGGCTGGTACCTTGAAAGATTTGGCATCCAACATTGTCAAGCTCGAGAGGTTTGATGGAGGAAATTTCATTCGTTGGCAAAAACGTGTTCGTTTCCTTCTCACTGCACTCAAAGTGGTCTATGTTTTGACCACACCAAAATCATTGATCAATCCCGAGGAAGAAACTCTTGAAGACATCCGAAAACGTCAGAAATGGGAGAACGACGATGAAATATGCTGTGGTCACATCCTTAATACCATGAGTGATAGCCTGTTTGATGTCTACCATTCAATTACTACCGCCAAGGAACTTTGGGATCGTTTGGAGTCCAAATACATGCAAGAAGATGCCACAAGTAAGAAGTTTCTTGTCTCATCTTTTAATAATTATAAAATGGTAGATAGTAAGTCTGTTATGGAGCAATTTAGTGAGATTGAAAGGCTTCTTAATCACTTCACACAACACAATCTACACATGGATGAAACCATTATTGTTTGCTCTATAATAGATAAGTTACCACCTTCTTGGAAAGATTTCAAAAGAGACCTCAAACATAAGAAAGAGGATATCTCTCTTGAGATTCTTGCTAAATCTCTTCGAGTAGAAGAGGAAATTCGCATGCAAGAAAATAAGGATACTCAAATCCTTGAAGAGAACAAAGATTCTACTTCAAAAGTGCATGTGATTGAAGAGAGACAAATTGAAAAGTTTCAAGGAAGCAAGAAGGGCCAACAACCCAAGAATCAGTTCAAGAAAAGGAAGAAGGGACAATACTTCTATTGCAAGAAAGAGGGACATTACAAGTCCGAGTGCAAGATTCTTCAAAATAAGAAGAAGAAGCAAGAGTCTTCCAAAACACAAGCAAAAATCTTGTGGCAATGATATCTGAAATCAATATGATTGAAGATGATTTTACTTGGTGGGTTGATTCTGGAGCTACGCGACACGTGTGCAACAATAGAACGTTCTTCAAGTCCATGAAACCGGTGGATGCAAGCACCGTTGTTTACATGGGAAATTCTGCTACAATTCCGGTTCAAGACATTGGAGAAGTAGAATTAAATTTATTTCCGACAATGTTGTAACCTGGACAAATGTGTTTTATGTACCGAAAGTTAGGAAGAACTTGGTGTCGGCTGGTTTGTTAAATAAATTTAGCTTTAGACTTGTGTTTGAGTCTGACAAATTTATTTTGTCTAAAGGTGGTATGTTTGTAGGCAAGGGTTATCTTTACAATGGGATGTTTAAGTTGAATGTACTTGCTATTAGAAATAATAAGATTGATATTATTTCTACGTATTTGGTTGAGTCTTCTTTTGAATTGTGGCATAATAGAATTGGTCATGTTAATTACAAAATGCATGAAATGATGAGACTTGATTTGCTACCATATTGTGATAAGATTGAAGGAAAATGCAAAACATGCATGCTAACGAAAATCACAAGAAATTCGTTTCCTAAAATTGAAAGATCATCTAAAATATTGGATCTTATTCATAGTGATATATGTGATTTGCATGGTACTCCTACTTTGGGTGGTAAAAAGTACTTGTGACTTTTATTGATGATTATAGTAGATACTGTCATGTTTTCTTGTTACACTCAAAAGGCGAAACTTTGCAAAAATTTAAGGCATACAAATCAGAAGTTGAATTTTATTGTGAATCCTTTATCAAATGTCTAAGGACAGATAGAGGTGGGGAATATTATGATATTACCTATTTTGAGTCTGTTGAGATAAAACATGAGGTGACTGCTCCTTACAAATCACAACAAAATAGTGTAGTCGAAAGAAAAAATCGTATATTGACAGAAATGGTTAATGCACTTTTGTCAAAATCTGGTTTAAGTCAAGGATTTTGGGGTGAAGCCTTGTTAACGGCTTGTCATATCTTAAATAGAGTTCCTAATAAAAGGAGTTCTATAACCCCTTATGAATTTTGGAATAAAAGGAAAACCAACCTAAACTATTTGAAAGTTTGGGGTTGTAGAGCTGTTGTAAAACTCCCAGAACCTATAAAAAGGAAATTGGGAGAAAAAGGTGTGGAGTGTATATTCTTAGGATATGCACAAAATAGCAAATCATATAGGTTCATGGTAATTGAACCTAATGATTCAATTTCGGTTAATACCATAATTGAGTCTAGAGATGCTATTTTTGAAGAGAATTGACAAAAGATGTTAATACTATAAAAGATGTTTAACCAGGTGGTAAGTCTATTGGTTAACCAGGTGGTAAGTCTATTGGTTAATAATATTTTTGAACCAGGTGGTAAGTCTATTGGTTAACCAGGTGGTTTTGAACCAGGTGGTAAGTCTATTGGTTAATACCATAATTTCGGTAACTCTATAAAAGATGTTATTCCAAAACCAAGTGAATTGACAAAAGATGGTGAAAATGAAACCATTGAATTGAGAAGGATCAAAAGAGCTAGAAAGTCAAAAGATTTCGGTTCGGACTTTTATATGTATCTAGTTGAAGGAACTAGAGATACAGTGAGCAACCAAATCTCATATTGCTTCAATATTGAGACTGATCCCAATACCTATGAAGAAGCAATGAACTCACAAGATGCTCCTTTTGGAAGGAAGTTATTAATGATGAGATGGACTCAATCATGGGTAATAAAACCTGGAAATTAGTAGACTTACCACCTGGTTCAAAACCAATATGTTGTAAGTGAATTTTCAAGAAGAAAATAAAGATCGATGGAACTATTGATAAGTTCAAGGCCAGGTTGGTTGCCAAAGGGTTCACACAAAAGTATGGTGTGGACTATTTGACACATATTCACCAGTAGGTAGAATTGCTACAATTAGAGTGTTACTTGCTATAGCTTCTATCCAAAATCTAGTCATTCACCAAATGGATGTTAAAACAGTATTCTTGAATGGTGATTTGGATGAAGAAATATATATGGAGCAACCGAAGGGTTTGTGATACCTGGTCAAGAGCATAAGGTGTGTAAACTTGTAAAGTCTTTATATGGACTAAAACAAGCACCGAAGCAATGGCATCAGAAATTTGACCAAGTTATTCTTGCTAGTGGATTCAAAATAAATGAATCTGATAAATGTATTTATAGCAAGTTTGATGATGGCAAAGGTGTCATAATTTGTTTATATGTTGATGACATGTTGATTTTGGGACTGACTTGGAACAAGTTGAAGTCACAAAAATTTTGCTTTCAAGCAAATTTGATATGAAAGACATGGGTGAGGCAGATCTCATTCTTGGTATGAGAATCTTCAAATATGATAACAATATAATGTTGTCTCAAACACATTATATTGAAAAGATTCTTAATAAATTCAATCAAAGTGATTGTATTCCAGCCTCAACACCATTGGATCCCAAAATAAATTTTGTGAAAAATGAGGGGGATCCAAAATCTCAAATCGAATATGCCAAGATTATAGGGTGCTTAATATATGCAATGACTTGTACTAGACCTGATATTGCATATGCAGTTGGTATATTGAGCAGATATACAAGCAACCCTAGTAGGTTACATTGGCAAGGTGTAACCAGAATTTTAAAATATTTAAAGGCCACTAAGGACTATGGTATATATTATACCGGTTATCCTTCAGTTTTAGAAGGATTTTCAGATGCTAGTTGGATCACCAATAAAGATGATCACTCGTCGACAAGTGGTTGGATTTTTATGCTTGGTGGAGGTGCAATTTCTTGGGGTTCTAAAAAACAGACTTGTATCACCGATTCAACAATGGCAGCAGAGTTTGTAGCACTTGTTTCGGCCTGTAAAGAAGCTGAATGGTTACGTAATTTACTTTATGATATACCATTGTGGCCAACACCTTTGTCACCTATCTCAATCCATTGTGATAGTGCAGCTACACTTGCTAAAGCATATAGTCAAGTGTATAATGGTAAATCAAGACATATCGATTTGAGACATAGTTATGTCAAAGATTTGATTACAAATGGAGTCATATCAATTGACTTTGTGAGATCAAATGAAAATTTAAGTGATCCTTTGACAAAAGGATTATCAAGAAGTTTGGTGTCAAAGACATCAAGGGGGATGGGTTTAAAGTCCAAAATTCTTGATCACTAATGGTGGAACCTCAATTCAACGCTAGATACAACGTCTAGTCTTGAATTCAATGAGTGAAAGTACACCATTCTAGTGGTTGGTGCACTATGTAAAGTTTAGACATTCCAATGTTGAATAGTGCATGTTATTCTCGCCAGTGCAAATGTAAGGATGAGTCATTGGACTCTTAACGAATCTTAAAAGTGCTATTGACAGGTGCCAGACCTGTGCAATAATAAATACCTACTCGAGAAAAATACAGATTTTGTATATAGCGGTGAGTAGGGTCGAATCCACAGGGATTGGGGATAATTCGTTTCTTCTAGAGTCCAAGGTATGGGGGGTTTTGGATTAAATGCTAACTAAATAAATTAACTGCAGAAAATAATTGATTAAGAGAAATAATTAAGGGAAAACTCTAGCCAAGGGTACACTTCAGAAATGGTTCAGGCACTGATCATTGATTCACAGATAATTCCACATTTATTAATAGATTAGTTATAGTTGTCATGCACGCGATAAACAACCAACCTTTCCTTACTTTCTCGATAGTTAAGGTACGATCGTTAACTATTTTTCTAACCCAAAAACAACCCTAAGTACGACCGTAGGGTTTAATTTCTAGATTGCATTAATAATTAGAAAGACCCAATCCTAACTAACAAACACGCTACGAGGGTTTGTTTAAACTAGATCGTATGTTCCCCTGACATAAACCCAATTACGCCAGTTGCTACTGAGATAGAGATAACAAACAATTACGGATTCAATTACCTCTATTTAGCAAAATAGC